CATTTACTACGAAAATAGCTAAAAGCTAAGAGAGCCATCATTACTCTTGAACATTTACAATATACACTGCCGTGGTACTCAATCAATCAGCAATGAGGCATACAAAAGTGTATTTATACGGCTAGATTGAACTCTCTAATAGCAAGAGCTTTTCAACAAATTAAACAATGGAAAATAAAAACTCAACAAATAACGGCCTTAAAGCAAACGGTTAATTCAACCAGCGCTTTTGTTTCGTCATCCAAGTCAAATGTGTTGAGTCAGCAAAAAAAACCAACGTCAACGGCTTGGAAAAACACCCATTTTTCAACGGAAAAAAGCACTCGCAGCAGCTTAAACAAAGAAAGTAAAACCTGCAACATCCAACACATAATTATTTCAAACAAAACTCGTCTTGGCAACGTCCCACTCCAACAACGGTATTGTTTTCACTAATGAAACTTGGTTTGATAACCCCCAAAGTACAGCTCTGACTCGAACTTAAACTTCAACAAGAATCTCTCCTAATCGGCTGCATTTATCGCCCATCTACCAACAACGCTTCGGTCTCCACTGAAATAGTGAAAATTCCCATGCAAAAACGACCGTAGTCAATTCCTCAGACGTCAAATGGCATAACGACTGAGAAATTAAAGGATTGACTGGATCAATAACACTGGCGCTAAAACTAGTTTAGGCACAAAATTTTTTGAAATCTTCTGTGACAACTTTATTGAATGTTATTACGAATTCACTCCGTGCGTTGGCTTCAAACCGACAAAACACAGACAGACACAGCCTTGGCTGACCAATAAACTTCTTTCGGTAACCAAATTCAAATAAAACTTTAGTACCTCAACCGCAATATCAAATGAAACTGTTCCTCTTTTTAAAGAGTACAATCTCAAAAAATCTCACTCAAAACCTCAACAAAATTTCCTGCATTGCAATTAAAGAATTTGAACACAAAGTAATAAACAACAAGTAGAATTCTAAACGTCTCTATGTTTATGTTAACAGCAAACGCGGCATTAGCAGTCAAATCACTTCTATGTACTCACCCTTTGGGGAAATAAGCAGCAACTGAGCATTCATTGCTAATATACTAAACAATTAGTTTCAGTCAGTATTCACGGTTGAACCAACCGATCAATCTCTACCACCCTTCATCAAACGCAAAACCGCTTTAATCTCCTCCATTATCTTCATTTATGGTACCGTTCAAAAATTCTTACCTGTTCTCAACGCCAACAAATCAACTGGAGGTGACCATATTAACCCATTTGTGCTTAAAGAATGTGTCAATGCGGTAGCTGCCCCATCTGCTATTACTTTTTAGAAATTGTTAGATCAAAGTGTAGCTAGAATCGTGGCTTTTGGTAAACGTAACACCACTATTTAAAACAGGTTCCAGACTCAACCAAGCAAATTACAGGCCAATCTCCATCATCACTGTATTATGCAAAATAATGGAAAAAATGGTAAAAGATAAGATGGAATACTTTGTAGCCAAAAAACTTATTGCAGATTGTCAACACGACTTCGTCAATAAAAAACCTGCATCACAAATCTGCTCGAGACCATGTACTTTCTAACCTACAACGTATCTATAAACTTACTGTAGACATGCTCTTTTTTGACTTTGACAAAGCTTTCGACAAAGTTCCTCACAGAAGATTATTGCAAAAACTTGAATCCTTTGAAAAGAAAGATAAAATTCTTAACTGAATTAAAGCTTTTCTTTCAAATAGATCATAAGACATTCTTCTGGGTAACACCTCATCCAACTGGAAACAAGTTACCAGTGATGTTCCACAAAGTTCAGTGCTAGATCCTACGCTTTTCATTATCTTCATTAATGACTTATCCAAACACGTCAGTAGTTAAAGCATCTGCAAAATCTACATAAAAATACTAAAATTTTGAGCGTTGTCAAAACCTCTAAAGACAAAGCTCGTCTGCAAGCTGATATGGTTAGCATAATGACCTAGACTCAAACCTGGTTGATGGAGCTTATCGTCAAGAAATAAAAGGTTATGCTCATCAACAAATACAAAGTTTTGCTACACCTTTACTCATTAAACAAGCATAACGCAAAGTCAGCAGAAGAGAGCTTGAGTCAACAACATCCAAAAAAGACCAAGGCGTTTAAATTACCAACAACTTAAAGCATGAAAACTAAGCCAAAATTGCGGCTACCAAGCCCAATAATGTCCTTGGAATCTTAAAACACACCATTATCAAAGACACCAAAATTCACCACACCATAAGCAAACATTCCACCAAGCTAGGGTCATCGTAAGCGATTTCATTGTGAAATGGACATTAATAACCTCGTTCAATTCAACCTTTTTAACAAACGCGTTGTTAAAAAGGTTTTTAAAAACTTCTCACCCATGGAATGCACTACCAAATGAAGTTGTCAGTGCTATTAGTGTGAACTGTTTCAGAGCGATATTCGATTAGCTATCACCTTAATTACCATAGCGCATCATCTTCTGTTTAAACATGCACGAGTAGCCCAGCTAGCTGTTGATGGGCTTAAGGAACACACCCATTATAACAAACTATAAAAATAACAAGAATAACAAAAAAAACAATAACTTTTATATTTTTATATATTTCTATTAATTTCAATTCAACAAAGCTATAGAGGGGGCCACCAAAATTAAAGAGACTATTTTTAAAAAAATATCTTTATTGGCTACTTGGCTACTCTCTCAACCCTAAATTTCGAAACACGAACCTTGTGATACAAGTTTGAATTGTAAACACGAGCTTTGTGAAACAACTACATTGTAATGCAATATATAGGGTAAACTGACCAATTTCTGGCCGTTTAGAATTTATTATTTAAATAAATTGGCTATTTAAACTTATTTGTGGTTGTATAAAAAAATTTACTAGTTAACAGAATTACAGATCAATTTACATAATACACATAGAGACATATACAGTTTTAATAATATTATTTTCTAACATAACTTGCAATTCGAGTTATTTAGAATTTGAATGTAATCATAAAAAAAAAACGTTTTACAATTTGAATGTAATCATAAAAACGTTAATACCAAATATTAAGTTTACGGAGATAAAAAAAACATCAAATATTTCAACTATGTTTTTGATGCATCGGGAAGTCTTTATATGTTTTAAACTAAATATTTTTAAAATTACTGAGCTAAAATACTATTTTTTTATATTTCATTACAGAGAAATCTCACTCTTCATTAAATATATTAGTCCTTTTGAAAATTGTCCAGAATTAGGACGTAGCCAGAAATAGATCGGCTTACTCGAGTTAAAATAAAGTTTAAACCCCAAATTAAACTTATTCGTTTGTTAATTTTGATTACATATTTTTTTCAAACTATTTAAAACAGTTCATATTTTTAGTGGGCTTAAAAACCTACTAAAAGTATGAAAAACTAAAAATTTAAAAAATCCACTACTTGTCCGAAAAGTTCAGTAAATATTTTGACCACAACACTGCAAACTTTTAAATTCCGATAATTCAAAAGAGATGTATATTATAAATATACATTTCTTTTTGACTATAGATATATAGCTATAATTATATAACATAATAGTTTATGTAATTAATTAATAATAATTTATTTATTCAATAATTTAGCAAGCGTTAACTAAAATAAGTTTATATTTAGGTTTCCAACGTTTCACAGTAAATATTTACTATTTTATAGCATTATTACAGCTAACTTAATATATTTGAAACAAAATTGAATTTTGTAATTTATAAATTTTATTGTGAATTGAAGCCCAGAAAAACCCTGCTAAATGAAACAAATATTTCTTCATGATTGATTTTAATTAAAGTTTATTTATGTTATAAAAACTTTACAAACAAAGATGGCTTCTTCCTACATTGTCGTGGATTTCCACTGAACCTATACAGGCATTTTTATCGGTTATTCGGAGTTTTGCTCATCAGTTACTTAGTAGACTATTAGTGGTATCCGCTCTAATTGACCTGCAGATAACTTTCCAACATGTGATGTATTAGCTAGTCTTTGGCTAATCACTTTTGGCAGCTGCTATTAATGTTCCACTAAGTAACCGATGATCAAAATTAGAGCGAACCGTTCAAAATGCGTTTAAAGGTTCACTGAATTTCTGCTTCAGAAATTTTTTGGGTGTGCCAGAAATGAAAATGAGGAAAAATAGCCAAAAAAAAGAGGAAAATTAGCTTGTTGTTTGTTTTGATGAGTTCATTGCATCTCTACAAAAAGATGACTTCTACCAATGTTCTTTTTCTGATAATCATGATACTAAAGTTTTGACTTGTTTAAATTTGATTTACGTAAACAAAATATTATCTGCGTTAACGTTACTACATTTGTTTTTATTTTTTAAATGTTTTTGTTCTTTTAATCTTTACGATTTTGTAATATATAATAGAGTCGTTTACAGAGTATAGTAAAAAAAAATCACAAAGTTACGTTATACAAAAAATATATAAAATAAAACTGTTAAGTATATCAGTCAGGTTATCAGTCACAGGATCTTTCCATTTTCTTTGAGTTTCCGTGTTTTTATATTTCATGTTCAACAGTATTATACCAAAATATATATTTGTAAAAACATCAAAAAAATCAAGATAATTTAGAATATAAAGGCGTTTGCTCCAAACTGTTTGAAAACAAATTTAAAAAGAAGTTGCTAAAAACCTTTTTAATGCGTTAAAAACTGTTTAAAATTAAAAAAATATATCAATTTTAAAAAATTGATATCGTTTAAAAAATTGATATCTTTTTTTGATTTAGTTTGTAAAAAAAAAACACACGTAAAACGAGTAAAATCTTTTTAATTATTTAAGATGGTATTTTATTACATTCTGAATATGCCTCGATAAGATGTCAAATGTTGTATGCAATCATTATTTTTTGCGCAAATTTTAAATCATTAACACGTTTTCATCGCGACTTGTAATTTAAAATACGTCAGCTTGTTAATGAATTCTCTATTCTTCTCAAAATTCAGATTTCTACAGATCATTTGTAAATATTTAATTTAGCAAATTCTTATTGTAATTTATTCCACACAAATTGAAAACAAGAAGTTTATAAAAAAAGTATTAAAAAAAAGTAAAATGATAATTAAACAACAAGAAAAGGAAAATCTGGATAAACATGGTAATTCATTGTTACTAATACTTGTTACTTATTGGTCAAGTTTATTTTGTTGTTTATTTAATAATTATTGCAATATTTGTCTAAAAGTTTTAGACCATTATCAAAATTATTTTTTATGCCCTAACTACTGCATTATATAATATAATTATAATAAAAAATAGTTTTATTTATTGTCTAAAACATTTTGGTTTAAAAATAGAAAAAAAAAATAACTTAAGAACGCTTTAAAGAAGATTCGCTGGTAAATAACACAGAAGATGAAGTTTCTACTTTACTTAACACGTCCCTAATAGCAAGAAATATTGGTGCAACAACGGTGCAATATTGGTCAATATCGGATAAGATATACGATATTGCGCCATTAATGCTGTACAATATTGCAACAATATTGAAATACCAACATTGGAAAGTATTAGCATGCCAATATTCCTCCAATATTGTTTGTCCAATAATGGGGCCCAATTGCCATGCTCACATTGGCTAATATTGATATGTTAATATTGGAGCATTAGCTTGTAAATATTAATATTTTCACATAGTTGTACGCGTATGTAACAAAAACTGTTAAGAAAATAAAATAATAATTGTCTTAACAATTTTCAGATGCAAAAATCAATCTTTTTTGAAAGTATGTTACTTCTAGCTGTTAATGTTCTTATTTTATAATTGTTTGCATTCCTATATTTTTTACGCTGCACGTTTAAAGTATCCGCATGTATATATATATATATATATATATATATATATATATATATATATATATATATATATATATATATATATATATATATATATATACATATATATATATATATATATATATATATATATATATATATATATATATATATATATATATATATATATATATATATATATATATATATATATATATATATATATATATATATATATATATATATATATATATATATATATACATTTACTGTACTGTAAGCACGTGAATATACATATATATATATATATATATATATATATATATATATATATATATATATATATATATATATATATATAAATGTTTAATAAATGCCAATATTGTAAATCAATATTGGCTATAAATATCAAAATGTGAACATTTTATATCGGTGCAATAAATATTGCACCAATATTGCACTAACATTGCTTGCTATTAAGGGTTCTTAGTTTCTATTTTACACACAAAGTTAGTGGGTCCGCAATACCATCAATTACTTAAATATTATGTAATTAGTCATCTACAATGTAATCACGGGTTATTTAGTAGACTTCTACAGTGCGGCTAGACAAAGTGCTTTTTACTGTTCCCAGTTTTTTTTGACGAGTCTTTAATTTAAGTTGTATTCATATATTTACGGATGCTTAAAAAGGTTAAGTACATTTAAAATAAATTTGTTAAAGGTTGTATTGATATATTTAGGAATGTTGTATTGATATATTTAGGCATGCATAAAAAAGGTTAAGTACATTTAAAAGAAAAAAGCGCTTTGTAACAGTACTGTTGCATATTTAATATCATGACTATAAGTTTTATAATATTTTTCCAATACATTCACTATTCCACCCCTCCCCATTAATTTGAATTATTTGATTATCATGTTTAAATTTAGACTATAACTTAATACAACAAGTTATACAAGTTATTTGACTTGTCAACACAATGCACAAGTTGATTATGTAATATTTTGTGCAGCTGTTGCGCAGTGGTTAGAGCACTTACACACAGATATTTAATTTTAGGTTTGAATTTAGTCAAGTAAGATATAATATATATTATCATCTTGAATAATAAAATAATGAATAATGAAAATCAACATCTAGAAGGATACAGTCAAATTAAAGTACGAATCATACTTTTTAAAAGTGAAATTTCGGAAAACAAATAGTTTTTTGAAAAATTATGTTAATTATTTTCAACAATTTTTATTTCCTCCTTTATTTTGAATTATATGACAAAGATGTTCTTGGCTTGCTTTTGAACCTTTCGGATATTCTTTTAGTGATACATTTCGGTCCAGAAAATAGTGAGAACCTTGGCCTAGTGATTGTTTATAGCAATGATTTATTATATAACTAGATGTCTAACTTGCGGGATTTTATTAGACAAAAAGTGAAGCCGCTTTTTTTTTTTTGTTTATAACAATAGTCCGCCATTTGTAAAAAGTGCAAAAGCTGAAGCCGATGTGTAGAATAAAAGTTAAAAATGTTCGTCAAAAGTTCCCATTAAATTAAAGATAATTCAAAACAGTTATAAAATACTTTTAAAAGTTTTTTTATGAGCCTAGGTTTATTAAAAAGTATTTTAATTCATAAAAATGCTTCAAAATAGTAAGTCACGGCTGTTTTAGAATGAGCTTTACGGCTTCTTGTTTTTTTTTTTACTTAGGGGGTATTACAAAAACATTTATAACTTTTGAAATATTGGAGACAATTTTGTTTTGTAAAAAGAATAAAAATAACAATAAAATGTTTCATCATACGACATTTAATGCAATAGTAAAAAAACTTCTTTTAGTTTATAAAAAACGCAACAAATGATGAACTTGGCTAAATTTTTTTCTGTCGTTACTTTTTACTAAAAAAAATCCGAAAAATACATTTCTGATAGTTATTATCAAATACACTCCTTGTATGACTATTATTAAAATAAAAAAACCTTACTTAATTGTTAAAGATTAACTAAAACAGTTTTTATTAAAGTCTGCTTGTAGATTAGCTACGAGAGAAAAACCCGCCAAAGTTTGTTTATTTATACACTAAAATTTGTCTCGGTTTTAATAAATTTGATTACATCATAGTCATTTAACTATAACAATAGTTAAATCATAGTCATAATATAATATACATAGTCATATATATACATAGTCATATCATACATAGTCATAATATCTTATATTATGACTATGGTTAAATACTATGATTATGATTACATAGTAAATTTGGAAGTAACTCATTTAAAGTTAAGTCATTGCTTTAAAATATAAGCAAAGTTTGGGCGCATGTAACTACAAAGTTTGTTGCTGAACCTGCTAAGGTTAAAGACGTTTTAGCTAGAAGTACAGAAAGTAATTTTTTTGATTTTCATGTGTATAAAAGGTTGTAATTTTAATAATTTGGCGAACTTAACATAAATATAACGATTTTCATATAAAACAAGTAATAACAAAAATATTAATGCTAATAAAATCCAACTTAAAATTTTTTTTTATCAATGTTCACTAAAAATCTGATAAAATAGGCATTCGTTAATAAGTATATAAAATTTCAACAATCAGGCATGTAGGTTAAAATATTAAATCTTGATTAGCCCAACACGGCTGTTTCAGAGTGGACATACGGCTTCTTGTTATTTTTTGAAAATAATTACTTAGGGGGTGTTACTAAAACTTTCATAACTTTTGAAATATTAAATATAAATACGTTCTGTAAAAGGAATATGAACACTGACTAAATGTTTTATATTTTATTATTCAATATAATAATCCAAGGCTGCTCTGATTTTTAAATAAACGCGCATAATGACGAACTTGGCAGTATTTCGAAATTTTAAAGGTACTTTTTAGCAAAAATAATCAGAAAAATTATATTTCTGTTGACTAATATGTAATATAAACATAGTTAGACCAATTATAAAACATGTTTACATTATTTACACCGAATGCAAACTGATACAATAGACGAAATAAAAAAATCGCAAAATTTTTTTTTTTTTTTTTAAAGATTTAAAACAAACAAAAAGAGTTTCCAATTATTTTTGCTTTCGGTCGTAGAATTATTTCCTCACATATAGATCGATATTACAATATTAACACTTTTCTGTGGAAAAATAACACATTTTTTATAAATATACAAAACAATATAGGCAATTTAAATAATTTGATAAATATCGTTTTGGTGGATTGACATAAATAATTTTTTTTTCAGTTATTATATTTATATATGTTCTATAAGTAGTAAACGATCTTTGCATGCAATTGATACTAGTTTTATTTCCATTCCATAAGGAAAATACTCTTCATAATCTTACTGACTTCTTATGTTAAATGTTGGCGCTTCATGCTTCTTTTGGAGTAAGGTTTAACTAATGATGCCCCATCCAACAAATTATGATGGTTCGTATTAGCTTTCGTTTATTCATAATTGAAAATGTTCTTTATGATCTGACTGAAACAAACTGTTGTGTAACTGCTAAGACTTATTAGAATCATTTATTTTATGGATTCTCATAAGCAAGAAATTTTTTTAGTTATCAGTTGGTCCAATGATTTGTTCTTAAGGTAGTATTAACACTCTTTGTACACGCAGTTAGAACTATGTTGTATCCCATTCTTTCACCAGAAAGACAAAATTCTCTATGATGGCTGAAACTGTAATGCTTACGCAACTGTTGAAGTGTATTCGAACTAATTTCTAAAGATAAGAGTGAAAGTTAATTAAATACAATTAGTTTTTTAATATTATAATTGAACTTGATGGCCACAAATAAATGCAATACAAACAACTTAATTAAAATTATTATTTGACAAATAGATGCAATAGATGTAATAGGATTAACAAACTTATCTGATAACAGTCGAATTCTCCACGAGTCAAGAATATTCCGCTAAACTTTGTTCATTTTATACTTAAAAATTTGTCTCGCCAAAACAGTAGTTCAGTTGAAATTGCTAAGATAATTGCTTGGGACGTAACGCATTTAAGGTTATGTCATCGCTTTTTAATGTTTATAAAAATTTACGCGAAAACTGAAAATATTTGTTGCTAAACATGCTAAGTTTGAAAAGATAATAGCTGACATAACTAGAGGTACAGAAAATAGGTTTTTTGTTTTCATATGCATAAAAGGTTAAAATTTCAATAACTTATGTTACTGATCAAAAATGTTAAATTTTACATTTAAAAATAATAAAATTAAATATATAAATGCAATAAAAATTTTTTTTTTTTGACAAATACACACCAGTAACGTTAGAATATGATAAAATAGACACTCATTAATAAGTTCTCTAAATTTCAACCGTTAAGCATGTAGCTATATCAGCTAATCTTTGTTGGCCCAAGACAGGTTTTCATTTAAAATCTCAAAAAACAGAAAAGTGATCCTAAATCAATTTCAATATTTTAACAATATTTTATTATAGTCCGTTTAATGTAAATATTTTTTTAATAAGAAAAGATAGATCTTTTATTTATTTTTTATTCAAAGATGAAGACATTTATAGAAAAAAATGCTATTATTTTAAAGTAAATGAATTTATATACTTTTTATGCGGAAATCCTTTTTTTTTTTGATAAACTCATGACGTCATGCTCACTTTTATATGGCCGTGTCAAGACAGGTTTTCCGTTAAAATCGCAAAAAAACAGAAACATGATCCCAAATAATTTAAAATATTTTAATAATGTTTATTTTTATTTCGTTTAATGTAAATATTCATTTAAAGAAGAAAGATAGTTCTTTTATATTTTTTTTAACTTAAAGATAAAAGCGTTTATAGAAAAAAAATACTAGTGAATTTTTATACTTTTTATGCGGAAATAAGTTCTTTTTTTTTAAACACAAAAATTCTTGTGACGTCAAGCTCGCTTTTATATTGCTGTGACTTACTTTTACCGTCTTACTTTTCTATTCAAAACTTTAATCCTGTTTTAATCGAAAATAAATTAAGGAATCACAAATTATTTTTTTACAAGTATTACAATTTCTGCTTAACACTTTTACGTAAATAGTATTTAAATTTAAAATATATTTACTTCATTTAAGAAAGGAAAAACTAAAAATACTTGTTTACAAATTTAATCCACCATTTGTAAAAAGGGCAAAAAACTTCTTCACTTTTCATAATGAAGTTAGACATCTAGTTATATAATATATCATTAGTTTATAGTCGAAATATATAGAACACCAAGCCAATTTTAGCGATAATAAAATAATTTTATTATCTTTGAACTTTTCTTGCAATATTTTTTTTATGAGTTCAAATTTAGACTGATAATTTAGACCAGACTGATGAGTCTAAATTTAAACTCATAAAATCTAAAAAACGTGTTGTTTTTTTAACATAAAGTGTCCAAAATTCAGTCAAAATACATTCTTCAACAAATGCTGGTTGTGCCATTAATTTGAATGAAAAATGGTCTGATGAAAAAGTCAGATAAAAATTTTATCAGACCATTTCATCAGACCGTTTTTCATTTTATTAAAATGCATTTTTCATTTCATCAAAATGCATCCCATTTTTTATTTTATTAAAATTTTCATTTTATTAAAATGAAAATGGTCTGATGATCAGACCATTCAACAGTGTCTTAAAACGAATCTAGTTTGTTATAGTTCAATTTAGCAAAGTCAAGTCATTTTTTACGATTCAGATGATTAAAAAAATGGACGATGATTAGCGATGTGATAGATGTGCTATTACGTTGTTAATCATCACCCATTTTTTTGCTAAGGATTTTTTTTAACCAATTGTAGTTTTTATTGTATTGTTAATTGAAACTTTTAATCAACAATACAATAAAAACTACAATTGGTTTTCAATAAAAGGAATTTTAAGAAAACTCTTCTCTCAATGCTGATGCTGATATTTCTCAATGCTGATGCTGAAAATTTCTGAATGGAAATAACTTCCATTCAGTAATTTTCTGGATGAAAAGTGGTTTTCTGCTTAATACAATGTTTTTCATGTTTATTTATTACTTTTTTTGCCTCCCCCCTCCCCTCCGTCATAGAATATATTGTATATACCTTTACTTTTATACTTATTGCAGATTTTTGTGGCTCCTACAATTGAAATAGAATACTTTTTCTTAATCTTTTCATATATGATTTCATTTTCTTCATTTGTAACAATCAAATTTCAAAGTACAACATTTTCCATTTTAAAATTTTCAAATTTATAAACTTTAATAAATTAAGTTTAAATATACGAGTTTATTGAAAATGATAGCGCAACAACTTCAATGTAATTTTTTTTTACTAATTTATTGTCTTCAAAGATTTCTTGCTGAGAATATTTAACTAAGGAAAAGTTCATTTTTAAAAATCATTGACAGAAGACTCTAAAAGATTATGAGTCAGAAAAGTGTGAATTCTTGAAGAAAAAGCAAGATGATTAAAAAAGTTATAAAAAATTAAACAGTTAGGGTACTTTAACTATAAAAAAGTATCATACGGAAGATGTATGAATATAGAAAATAGTAATCTGATAGAAAGTTTATGGAGATAGAGAACAAAATTAGGTGTAAAAAAATAACAGACAGAATAGCAAGGCAACCATATCTGTTTACAATAGATTGACTATATGATTTCCATGAGTGGTCTGAAGTGATAGTTCAAATGTTTCCATGAGTGGTCTGAAACAGTTCAAAAAGGTGTAAAAATAAAACAGTAATAGTGTTCCCATGGCAACAATTGTAATAATGGTTAGCAGTAAACAACTTTTTATTTGTTTAAAACTGTTTAAGTCTCATTTATTTTAAAGTTCATTGGCCATGGTAAGTTTAAATCTGATTATATTCAAATTAGCTGTTTTAGATTTGATATTAGATTTGTTGAAACTAAACTTGTATTATAAAATATTCACAATTTATTTGCATTGAACTGACATGTCAATTAGTGAAATACTGGCTAATGTTGGCAAATTAGGTTAATAAAAAACAAAAACATTTCAAATGTATTATTATTTTATTGCCTTATTGTACACTTATAGTAAGTCTTATTGTAAATTACCTTCAATTCTATTCATAAATTAAATTATACTTATTTATTTTATATTTTGGCAAATTTTTTCAAAATAATTTTTTTGCATTTTAAAATCAGATTTTATAATCAGATATTAAAAGCAAGTAAGATTTTTCAATTAGTTTCCTCATTTAGATTATTTAATCTATCTGAATTTATTTTGTTTAAAGTAATATATAAATCTAAATAATATATTTGAAAATCTAAATAATATATTTTAATATCATCAATCAATATAAATTTATAGATATAAATGATATATATATATATATATATATATATATATATATATATATATATATATATATATATATACATATATATATATATATATATATATATATATATATATATATATATATATATATATATATATATATATATATATATGTGTAAATTACTTGTTAAAACTATTGTTATGCTATAAAATGACGAAATTTTTTGATAAAATTAAAGCCAATATGGTTAATTAGTATCAATTGATTACATGCAGAATTTACAACTTCCATTTCTTTTCAGGATTATGTTTTTAATTAAAATTTCAGAGAATCCAATAAACTTTCAAAATCAAAATGTTAGAATGTCAATAAGCAGTATGACAGTTAGTAATCAAAATCAAAAGACAGTAGTAATCAAATCAAAAAACAGTAGTAATCAAATAGAGTAAATATAATACTTTCATTAATATAAACTTAAAAGTTTGACTAAACTGTTATTTTATTCAGTATATTGTTAAAAAGTCCCTTTTAGTATAAAAGCCAACATTTAAGTTTGATACCCTTAACAGGTTTTTTTGTTTCTTGTTAGGATTTTATGTGAAATTTTATAAAAAGAATGTTACAATCAAAACATTCTTCATAAATAAAGTAATAAATTTTTTTTTTTTACAAACCTAATAAGATTTTCAAAAAATAAATGTTTCCTAAAATCTTGTTTAAGTGTTTTTATTTTAGAATAATGTCTTTAAAGTTGTATTGTCTGTACTGATCTTTTTTGCTGGAACTCAGTCAGGTATGAAAAATACTTTGCTGTATAATTTTGTCATTTATAAATTTATGTTCAACATATTTTGTTTTATTTTCAAACATTGTTTAAACTGCTGTATTTATATATCAATAATGGTGAAGCGTATTGAAAACTAAAAAAACAAAAAGTACCAGCATAATGGGCGTCGGCTAAGATGATTGACTATCTTTGTTTGGCCATAAATTCCTATCCATAATTATGGATGTTTTGCTCATTGGTTACTTATTGGACCATTAGAGGCACCTACTTTAAGTGGTTAGCTGATAACTTTTCAACATGCGGTATAGTGACTAGTCATCGGGTAGCCACTTTTGGCAGCTGCCACCAATGGTCCACTAAGTAATGAATGAGCAAAACTACAGTAGACTGCTCAAATTTTTTATATGCGTTCACTGAAATTCTGCTGTTTTCTGGGTTGATGAACATGCTACTGCATGGAGAAACAAATTGAGTACATTATTAAGTAAATGGTAGGTTTGCTTCAAAAGAGAGACTTATGGAGATGCTTTTAAAGCAAGTAATCTACCACTACCTAGTTACTAAAACTTATCCTTGATGTTCACATCCAAAATCCTTTTGTCTAAAAAAAGATCTAAAACACTTATTTCAGGAAAAGGATGTTTTGGAAACTTGATTAGTTTTATTAATTATTGTAGTATTTTCTTAAATACTGCACAATGTTTTAACTAACATACACCAAAGAAGGAAAGTTAAAGAAAAAAGAAAAAACAATTTTTGAAAAAAGTTTGGTTTTACTTTTAAAAATAAAAAAAAAAAAGAATTTTTTTTTTCAAATTTTTTTATTACATAATTTTTTTGAATAAGTTTTAAGATTTTATAGTGAAAGTTTGAGATGTCATGTTTTCAAGATTGCAGTCATTAAAAAATAAATAGGGGAAGACAGGGAACATTTGACCATGGGGAACATTCGACCTTTTCAAATATTTCCCAACATGATAAAAATTACCACTTAAAATGTTTATCCATGTTTTGTCTGTTAATAAGCTATTGCGTGAAGTAAGTATCGATCCATCTTTATTAGTATTAGTACTTATATAGAAGAAAATCTAATTATTGATGCAAAAGGTAATTTTTTTTTGTTTTAAATAACCCCCAGAAAATCACTTTTCAAATTTTAACCTCCTAAACTTTTTTGTTGTTTATTGTTTAATGTTATCTTGAGTTTAAAACCTTTGTGTTTGATTTACTTTAAAAAATTGATTTTGGCTTTTAACAGCGTTTGTTAGGAATGGTAGAACCAAGTAGGGAATGGGAGAACCAAGTGAAAGTCTAGGGGTAATAGGTACACCATTACAAAATATTTTATCTACCAATGAAACGCATTCCTTCTGTAACTACTAGAATTACTATAACAATTAAAAACTGATTCTAGAACATGTGCAACCCTTGCCTAAAGCTTCTCAAAGACAAAATAAATAAAGAGGAAATCAAGTTAATGATATATGCTAACACTCCTGAAAAGGAAAAGATTGAAAAACTTTATTGGAAAAAAATTAAAAAAAAAGAAGAAAAGTCATCAACCTGAAAAAAAAACGCTTTTAAACTGCATTATTATTTTTATTTTGATATAACTTTGCAAATCTTGTTGTTAAACAACTACTACTATTTACTTTTAAATATTTTGTGGAAAGTTTTTATTGTACAATAAAACATTTATAAGAAAGAAAACTTATAGATTAATTATTTCGCTAATAATGATATGTTTGAAAGTACCCTTTTAGGTGGTTGAATGTACACCACTGGTGGGGTACATTCGACTACTTTGAGGCTTACTTCTAAAACAGTGGTAGATTTAACAAAAATCAATATTTTATATACATTATCTTTTTAATTTGTTGATTTATGACCATTACTTGCAATGCTAAAAAAAGTTTAATGTTTTTGGTAAAAAATCATTTGTAAATTAATAAAAACCAGCTAAATGGTCGAATGTTCCCTGTCTTCTCCTATAATTTTTGCATTTATGTATATATCAATTAAATGTTTTTAAAATTTAACAAAAAAATGAACTTCAGAATTATTTAAAACAATTTTTAGTTTTATTTCAGTCAAAGATGTATTTTACTCAAAGCAAACTATAAAGTTAAAAAAAATGTGTGAAAAATTTACAAAATTTGTTTAAAAAAAAAGTGTTCTAGTATTCATATTACTTAGTTGCATCAGTGTCACTTTTTTAAAATATTACTCTAAAGTAGTATGTTAATGTTTAGAGTTGGTAAAAGTTATATATAAGTAATTTTAATTAAATACAAAGTTTTAATTATATAAAAGTTAAATTACATTTTATGTAAGTAGATACATTTTAAATTACATTTTATGTAAGTAAATGTATTTCAAAATTTTATATGGTTTTTATTGTTCAATTTTGTTTTTAAAAATTGATAATTTTAAAAAACATTTTTTTTTTAGTTTTATCAGGTTGTACTAATGATAGTTCTACAGACTTCCAATTAACAGCAAGTGGTTACCATATCGAGTCTAACATCTCATGTGTTAGTGTTTGCAATTCATACAATCCTTCAATTTTTTTCTATGCTTTTTTCCTTGAAGGTCAGCTTTGTTTTTGCAGAAATGCATCTCTTCCCCAGTTAAATATATCTAACTTTAATAGTCCTTGTGTAACAAGTTCATGTTTGAGTGATAACTCTACTTCTGATTGTTCTCTAAGCAGTTATGAGGTTTTGCCGCTCACATTAGGTATTGTTGAGTGGAGCATAACTTTTAGTCCTACTGTTTTACTTGTGGACAATGAAATTCAAATACAGACAAATATCTTAAAAGGTAAATATTTTACTTATTTGGTTTATTGAGATTGCTAAGCTTTTAATTTTAAAATTTAATACATATTTTTTAACTCACTTCTTCGAGATAAGTAAAATGTTCAAATATTTGAAATAATTTTTCAATAATTTATTGTTATAATTGTAATTAATTTTTTCAACAACATTAACAAGTTTTTACTAATGGGTCCCCTAAAAATGGCAAGTAAGACTATGCTACTGTATGTTTTTGTGTCATTAATTTTGTCCTTTTTTACCCTTTTTTTGTATTTTTTTGTATTTTTAAACTATGAATGATGTTCAGAACTATTTATTTCTTCACAAAGCCTTTAAATTCAGAATACTCTGGTACTTGTTGACATATTTTTCAGTAAACACCAATAAAATATATAAATCTACTGCAAATTTAAGCTAATGTTACTATTAATAATAAAATAATTTTTTTACCTAATTTTTATACTGTTGACTTTTATAAAATCTTTTTTTTGTTCTATTTAATGTGTATTGTAATCAAACATAAATACTACAGTTGCCCTAACCAAATCTTTAGTATTGTGATTATTAAACCCCCACAGATGGTTGTTTCAGTAAAAAGTTACAAATACAACATAAAACCTAATATATATATATATATATATATATATATATATATATATATATATATATATATATATATATATATATATATATATATATATATATATATATATATCTGTGTATATGTATGTATAATATATATATATATATATATATATATATATATATATATATATATATATATATCAAGTTCAGACATGGAGCAAACTCCAAAAATTTATATGTTTATACAAAAAAGTTGCAATGATTGTAGCCTGGGAACAAAAAAGCCCTAAAATTTTAGCTACATCTGCTCCAAACATGAGAGCAACAAGTTGATAAAATAATTTTTATACTATTCTTTATATATTCAGGCCTTGGCAGGGATAAATTAGAGTTAGATGGGAGAAAAGTTTTCCCTCCTATAACGAATATGGCAAGCCATGGGAGCTGCTCTTCTCAAAAGCTTCTTACGAGAGCTTTTGGTTTTTATACAATCTATCTGTTTATTCATTAAAAAAATTGCTTATTAAAATACAAAATTTGGTTTTATACTTATTACAAGTATATGTTTGTAATATTGTTACAAGAATATATACATAACAAGCGTCATTTATTGCGCAGTGAAAAAATTCCTTAGATGAGCGTTGTCTTTGGATTTTTACACTAGCTAATTATTTGTTTATTAACAACTTAGTTCATAAAAAATTTGACAAAGAGCTATAAAAGTTTTTACTTCTTACAGAAATTGTTTTATATTTTCTTACTGTTATAGATTGCAGGCATTTTAAGAATTATTACAACAATCAAAAATTTCAATATAAAAGTAAATAATATATTAAAGTAATAAATATATAAAATATATAATTCATTACATAAAATAAAAATTATTATGCAATAATTTAGAGTGTAATAATTTTATTTTTTATCAATTAAATAATTTTGTATTTTATCAGTTAGTCTAATCTAATCAAAAACATTTGCATTTAAATTGGTGCTCTTTTTTTTTTTTTATGCAACAACCATACCTTTTAAAAACGATTGCAGTTTATTATCCAATTAATTATTATTTTTTTTTAAATGACTGCTTTTTTTCATTTTAGTTACAATGATAAATATACTTTTTTATATTTTTACGAGAGCCATAAATTGCTCCTGTAAAATGTTTTAGGCGAGTATGGGCAAGAACAAGAGTTAAAGCTGTCGCTTCCTGCTGAGGCCTCTATATATATGTATGTATATATATATATATATATATATATATATATATATATATATATATATATATATATATATATATATATATATATATATAATACATACATACATACATACATACATACATACATACATACATACATACATACATACATACATACATACATACATACATAGATAATTGTTTATGTTAAGGTGATGCATCAAGTGCGTATGTGAGACCATTACTGAGTAACTTACCAACAGATGTTCAAAACATCAATGGTATGACGATAAGAAGATATTTTTATTTACCTGGTTTACAGCAGTGGTCACAAGAAATAGGAAATGCTTTCACAAACCCGTTTATTACTACAACTTGGATACAAATTGATGAAAAAGTTGGTGGTATTTACTTAATCACATCTGCAATTCCAGTTAATGGTTTTTACAATTATTTTTTGGTTATTACACAAGGAACAAACATAAGTGTAACTCTTATGCTCCCATCAAATAAAAGTTTATTATTTGATGCAGGTATGCAAATACATTTATTCTTTATTTTATTTAATAGTGTCGTCAATTTTGTCATTTTAAGATATAAGTTAAATCTTTCGCAAATAACATAAAAACTTACACCTTCTCTTCTAAAGATTACACACATGCATATTTGACCAATACAATCTGATTACAAGCTATACTTAAGTTTAACCTGTAAACAGATTAGATTTAGGTTTCATTTTTACTACATTAAAATCCTTCTGGCTAGGGGGCATTGCAGTTGAAGAGTCCTTTTGTACTTAAGTCGTTAAAAATTATTATTATAACCTTCACTTTGTTCTATAACTATAAAATACAAATCTGAACAAATAGTCAACATGTTAAGCATGGAAGGTGGTAGGTGTTGTGAGGAATGTAAGTTTAGATTGTTAACATAGATCAAATCTAATATGATTTCTTTTTCAAAGCAGGTTAAATAAATTTGAATATATAAATTTTCTTTAGACGTTATTCGTTCAGCATATGGACTAGATTTACTTTCAGTTTATAATTACACAGAAAAAAAGTGCAATCTTTCAGGAGGTTTTATTTTAAAACAAGTTATTTTAAAACCTGGTCGTTTTACAAAAGTGAAATTAAAAGTATCTGACATAGGAGCTTTAGAAATTGCAGTAAGTTTTTCTTTGTTTACATAACTTATTATATTCTTCTTTTTTTTGAAAAAAAAACTTGCCAGAAACTAAATTTACAGCCAGAACCAGCATCAGTGCTTTGACCAACTCTGAAACTAATCAAAACATGGCAATCTCAATAAAAATGATTAATTTAGGTACATTGCCACATTGTGATCAATTAAATAAAAAAAAAAACACAATTTAAAAACCAAAAATGTATTTTTTTTTTTGATTGTTTTTTTCTTATCACTTTATTTTTATTGTTTTTTTTAATTTTATTTAATATAAGTATTTCTACATTTTTTTTTTTAATTTTATTTAATTTCTTCTTTTTTTATTATTTTTATTTTTTACAATCATTTTACTATACATTTATTAACTAAATTATTTATTTAGTTTAAATTATTTAGTTGAATTAATTAAGTTTTATTTAGTTGCATTCTTTAGGGATCAGTACAGGGTACTTAGAATTCAACTATAAAAAAACTTTTGATAAAAAGTTTGATACATATACTTTCATACATATAATTTATTATATTTTCAATACTTCATAATTAGGAATACATGATTAGTATAGTAAAACATTTTTTATTAAAACAATACTTGGACTGAAACCAAAAACTATTTAACAACATCAACTTTGTACTTAAAAAGAATTAGTTTAATACTTTAAGTTTAATATCTTTTTTTAAAAAAAAAAAAAACAATAAACGTTACATGATTAGGATAATTAAGTATTTTTTATTAAAACAATCTAATGAGGTCACTACAGTGAAGAAGGTATTTTTTTTAACTGTTATTACAGCTCCCTCATAATCATTCAACTCATAAGCATAAAACTTAAGGAACATAGCTGCTGCACAGAAAATGTTTGAACAATTTAGGTGTGGTACTACTAAGGGTGTGGTGAGAATTCAACTTGAAACTTCGTGCAAAATTCAACTTTGGATGCTTGCAACTAAACAGACATTTTACAACTAGATTACTGCCACATTTGTTACATTAAAAAAATGTAAAGATTTTTATTGTAAGTATTTTTAAAATTGAGATAATTTGGTTTAGTTAATGACCTCTTTGCACAAGTTGTATCTCCTGCAGTGCTATAAACCTGTTTTTCTGGAACATTTATTGCTGCTATTTGAAAAATTTGTTTAACATAAAACTCTACTGGTTCAATTTTTTGCATGATCAAGAGCCAGTATTTATTCTCTGTCAATGATGATTCATAAACTTTACTACTTTTTCAGTATTATTATGTTTTTTTATGTATCATATCGTTTTGTATTACTTTATTTATTGTACTTAAAAGTGATAAGGCAATATTTTGCTGAATGACGAGTTAAACAAGATTGAACTTTGGTTGATGAGACAAGTAATGAAAGTTTGCTTAAACAAAGCTTAAAGTAGAGGACTCAGTAAGAGTGTTGCCATTTATTAGTAATTTATCATATCAACAATATTGCATTAATTATAAGCAGATAAAAACACATATAAACTACTCTCAGAAGAACCAACAAAAAGTATAGGGAGGAATGTTAACAATCTTATTGACTATATGTTTCTCCATCATATGATTGATAAAAAAACATTGGAGTTCCTATGTCCAAAAACACCACTACGTACACCCCTGTTTTATAGCCTTCTAAAAATTCATAAGATAGGCGTTCTCTTAAGACCAATTGTTTCTGGTTGTGATGGACCAATCAACAAACTTATCGGTTTTTATCACAAAATTTACTCAGCCAGTTGCTGAACAATTACCAGCATACTTTAAAGACACAACACATTTCCTTAAACTCCTTCAATCTCATATACTAGAAACCAGCAATTTCATTCTTGTCACCGCTGATGTTATGTCTTTGTTATATCCATTTATCATATTGCATTAACTATAAGCAGTAAACAAATGAGTTTAAAATTCATTAGCTATTGCAAGCTCCAAGCTGTTGCAAAAGAGAGATCATGTTCATGATTGACTCCCTGTTCTACGTGATCAATAAGTTATGACTTTTTGTGTATACTTGTATCATTAGCAAGTAAAGCCACTTTGAGATAAAATTATTTAGAAGACGGCTATTATAGATGAGGAAAAACACAGGATTATGGATCAAATCTTGTGTAACCCCAGATGTTAATGGAAATGAAGGAGAGTGTTGTTTAGAAATAAAAGGAGAGTGTTGTTAAGAAAAGTTCAAGATTTAAGAAAAGATTTAAAAATAGATTGAAGAAATAAATTTGAGTAAAAATTCTTTGCAAATACTTACTGTTGACCATAACGATGGTTTCTTATGGATCAGAATCTGTTTCATAAAAAAATGTTGCTTCAATCTTCTTCTTGGTGTGGGATGTTGGTGTAAAGCAAGGTACCTCTAAGCTGACAAAAAAATAGTTAAAAGAAATGAATTAGTTCAGTTGAAGTATTTAAAGAAAATATTTTTTTTGAGTAGATTTTTTAATAGGGAAAAAAGCAATTGGAGTAAAATTTTTGAACATGAAGTGCATGCATTAAAATTTTAATGTAAATCCTACCTGTTAGTGTATACTTCTGCCTTATAATTGAAAGATATAGTAAACTCAGATCCTTATATGAATGTTAAACTTGCTATTGTCAATGGTATGTAAAAGATTTTCCAAAATTTTCCCTTAAGAACCTAATTTCTTGAACAAAATACAAGATTTGATTATCTTTAAGTAATAAACTTTAGCACTAGGCAACAGCTTTTTGCATCATTTTTTTCAATGATAAAAAAAAAAAATTTTTAAAATTGTTATTCTTGTGAAAAAGATAGAAATAGCAGCTACACAATAATGAAAAAACCAAGATGAAAGAGCAAGGTTTAATTTGAAAGGCTTCTATGTTTGTAGTCCAGAAAATTACAAAAGAGCTACAATATTAGGTATAGAGTTAAAGACCATATGTTAGTATTAAGATAACAATTACAGGACAAACATAATATTAAAAAAGTACAAAATAAAAGTTTTATTGAAATAATGATCTAAATCATCTAAGGGAAAACAAGGAGAGAATAAGCACAAGTTAGGGAGATTAAGAAATAAATTAATAAGTGAAGAGCCTTTAGAGCCAACAAGTTTGCTTATAATAAGGGGTGAATATAGGGGAGGATTCCTAGGGGTCCTGACCTCTTGCCATTTTTTTCTAAAACAGTTTCATTTAGTAGTTTATTGGCAGTTACATTGTCTTAACTTATATGAATGCCTATAAGTAGCGAACCAACTTATAAATACAGAACAGCATGCTTGTCAAAACATATCATAAAATTTTTTTTTTAATGTTATGTTTATTACTATGGTTTGAATATTTAGCTCTGGCAGTTCCATTCCCACAAATGAAAATTATTGAATTAAAAAAATGACTTCAAAACCACAACCAACTAAAGTCCATTCCAATAACTTTTTTTCAAGGTACATCACTTTAATTTTTTATACAGAACTAAAAACATCTTGTGTAAATGGATAATCTTCTTGATTTTGCTGCAAAAAAGTTAAAGTGGATCCATGGTAAAAAATTTAAAATCTTTAAAATTCTTGATTTTAATTCTTTAAAATTAAAATATAAATAATAAATGTAACTGTAAATAAATTTTTTTTCAAATAATAAAAAAAGCAGTTTTAAAGTTCGAAGTCAGCATAAACATAGAAAAAAAGCGAGTTATGTAATACAACTGTTGCCTTAAAAGTACTTATGATATAAAGGTAAAAATTTTACAAATTTTTACCTTTATATCCTAAGTTAAAAAAGACATAAAATAATAACAAAACATAAAATAAAATAATAACAAACATAAACAGACATAAAATAATAACAAAAATATAAAATGATTTAAAGGTAAAAATTTTACAAATTTTTACCTTTAAATCATTTTATATTTTTATGTCCTTTCATAATGACTCCTAAATTAGTGAACAATCCAAAAGTTTGACTATAAGTTGATGGGAAATACACATTTTTCAATAAAAAATTACTTCTGTTACTTTCTGCAGCATATTTGCTATGAAGTATTTTCAAATATGTACAAGTATATAGTCGTAACATTTAAAACAATTGCTGACCCTGACTAACTACCAGGGTGTTTATGCTACTAATGTCCTACTTGTCCAAAGTGGTGTAAAATCAGATGCTGACTTGTCTGCTAAAGGTAAATTTGAGAGAAAATCATATGATGAAGAGGGTAGTGTTGAGATTATTAAATTTGAGATTAAAGTAGACACATTAGTTCCCCAATGTCTCTTGTCTGCTTCAAATTGCCTATTGAATTGCAATTTGCCTATTGGATGTGCAGAGGCTTAATTTTTACCAGAGAAGCATTATGAGTGAAGATTGAATAGCAGGACTACCACTGATGAACATCCATCATAGTTTAAACATTGGGATTGGTTGGAGTAGGTGTAAAGTTTTTTTGTTAGCATATGCTATGTTAAACTATCCATAATGCTATGCAGTAACATTATTAACTATTATTGTTTTAACTATTGATTATTATTATTACTATTTGATAAATTTATAAGATTCAGATATAATTTTTAAAAAGTTGTAAAAATTCTTCCAGGGAAGAGAACACCCCTTCCTGACCCATCTTATTTGAGACCCCCTCTTTTGCATAATGCTGTATTTACCCCTGTTATACTAGAGCTAAACCATTCAATGCAATGAGCTTTAAAGTCACGATTAACAGCGAGATAACAAGAAAAAGCTTGGTAGATTTGACCAGAAATAACATTAAAATAATTGCAGTCCTGCAAAGAATTAAAACAATAAAGAACAAAAAGATTGGTTGATAAGAAGCTCATAAAAGTCAGAGGAATCAAACCTGATTATTTGACAAACAGATAAAAAAACATTTATAGGTATGTTCAGGCCATACATGTGTTCCAAAGGCGAAACGGCCAAATTTAAATTAGTTTTATAAAGAGCAAATAGGTCTATTGAATTTTCTAAAAGGTAAGACAATGAAAAAAAGTTTACTTCAAAGACCACAAGTATTTGTAAACTACAATTTGTAACAATTCAATAGTAATGATGGATTTTTTTGTTTCATACACATTATTAATGTATTAAATTAATTGAGAAGTTGACACAATCATAGATTGTGTATGACACTTCATAAAATCCCATGACACTTTTAGCTAAAAGTGTCACATGACATGTCATATAACACTTTAAGCGAAAAGCTATAACAATTGCTTTATTCCTGTTAATTAATCCAAAAAAGTAACAAAGAGCTGACAAGAGCTTGGTAATACAACATTAAAAATGTACATTAAAATATGCACAAAACATTTATTGCTAGCAATTATTAGTTCCCACGTTTCTGGTTACAAGCCTATTTAGAGCAACAGCTAAATCTTGAATTGAATTGAACAGTTATTCACATGTGGTTTAACAATTAATCATATGTAGTTTAACAATAAATCTCATGTAGTTTAACAATTATTCAGATGTAGTTTAACAATTAATCACATGTGATTTAACTATTAATCATATGTAGTTTAACAATTAATCACACGTGATTTAACAATTATTCACATGAGTTTTAACAATTATTTACAAGTGGTTTAATAATTATTCAAAAGTGGTTTAACATTTATTCACCTATGGTTTTAAAAAAGTTTAAAAATTGTTCTGTTTTTCAGATGATACTATTTCAACACGTGGAAATCTTAAAAGCCAATAGAATTTAATTAGCTTTATTTACTCATTTATATTTGTTCTTTATATAATTCAAGTGGTAAAAAAAAAAAAAAAAACTGCTTCCACTTTGTAGTTTAACATTTATTAGTCTTCCTCTGGCTAAACGAGTAAATTGTTATTTATTGAAACAATTGTTAACTTAAAGTTTATTTTTTCCTAATATTTAGGAGTGCTTCTAAAAAATAATTATGATAACTCTTTCTCCATTATAAACCATGTTAATATGTTAGCTAAATTTCAGGCTAACATGTAATTTTTAAAATTTCCTTATTCGTTATGAAATTAAACAAGGTTATAGCATTTTTTTATTTTCAGAGTCAATGTAAATATTTTTTTATTCCATAAGATTTTTTTTAAGTAAAATATTTTTACATATCTTTTAATTTAGTATGTTTAAATATGTTCTGTTTTGTACAAAGCTTGTTTTCTTTGCACTCATATTTTCAAAATTAATGAAAATAAATAAAGATCTTGGTCAAAGTTTTACCATATGTTGAGTCTTGAGGCTAATTTTGCATGCTGCCTTTTTAACTATCACTCAGGCTTTTTAATATTATTACAGGGATTATCTTTTTCCGGATATTTTAGAATTCCAGATATTTTTCTCAGAGTCAATGTAAACATTTTTTATATCCACATTAACTTTTAGTTAATGTGGATATAAAAAATGTTTTACATACATAAAAATGTTTTACATATATAAAAATGTTTTACATACATAAAAATGTTTTACATACATAAAAATGTTTTACATACATAAAAATGTTTTACATACATAAAAATGTTTTACATACATAAAAATGTTTTACATACATAAAAATGTTTTACATACATAAAAATGTTTTACATACATAAAAATGTTTTACATACATAAAAATGTTTTACATACATAAAAATGTTTTACATACATAAAAATGTTTTACATACATAAAAATGTTTTACATACATAAAAATGTTTTACATACATAAAAATGTTTTACATACATAAAAATGTTTTACATACATAAAAATATTTATGCATAAAAGCAAAATCAAGAGGAATATAAGGGAAAATAAATTCTGGATTTTTTCCAGATGTTTTACCCAATCATTTTTCCGGATAAAATATGACCTGGATGATCTATATTATTAGCAAGGTCGTTGAGTCTCAACAAACACATAGTAAGTTCAACAACTTATCCTTTGATAATTAATATTGATTTAATCCTATTTTTCTATTGCTGACTTACTAACTGTAAACACAGAATGGTTCAATTGTGTATTAAATTGTAGTATTAGACAAGGAATATTTCTCCTGACTTATTAAAAGCTTTTAATAATGTCTAGCATGCTGGTCTTCTCCATAAGCTCGCTTTATGTATCTGATAAAATTTTAAGAATTATTGAACTATTCTAACCACAATATTAAAGTTGCCCTTGTTGACAACACTCTTTTTATATTCAGTATCTTCCATCTTTGGTCCTGAGTTGTTCCTTATCTATACTAATGATCTTTTTGATAGTCTTACTTCTAAAGTTTGATTACATTTTTATCATTAGAATAAAACATTATTCTAATGATAAAAAGTTTTAAATTTGGTTATTAAAACAGACAGCTTAAAAAAAAAACAGATTTTAAATGTGACTTCTCTTCTGTGACTGGTTCTTGCAGTGACTGGTGTAGTTTAACATTTTGGTTTTTCTAATGATGCCACTTTTTTTTCAAACAAGATCCAAAAATGCATTGTAATTAGAGTTGCCAAGATTGAGCTAATGTCTTATAATTATAAGATTTTTTTCTCTCTTTTACAATTCCTGCCACTCTAATCTAGTAAGCTTTTAGTTAAAAATACTATCACACTGATCTAGTAAGTCTTTTAGTAAAAAAATATTGTCACTCTGATCTAGTAAGTCTTTCAGTAAAAAAGTACTTTCGCACTGATCTAGTAAGTTTTTTAGTAAATAAAATACTGTCACACTGATCTAGTAAGTCTTTTAGGCCTGTTAATTTTTGCTCAAAAAAAATTTATTCATCTTGTCTTTTTTTTGTATTAATACTTAGGCAATCTCATCTGTCATGTTTTTTAATTTTCAGTTTTTTAAATTTTCTGTCAACTTTTTGTTGCTTTTCAGTCAATTGTTTTTGTACTTTTTAACTATTTTGTTTTATTATTTTTGTAAAACCCTCAACTTAAATAGAGGTTTCCTTTTTGGGAGGAGGTTTAAAAAAAGATATGAATAAGAAGTTTTATTAATTAAAATGAAACAAACTATACTATATAAGTGTGAAACCATAAAAAAAGTTGTGTAAAATAATTTGATTACAGTTTTTATTTTTAGCGTGTAAAATATAATATTGCCATTTTCATTTTTTATCATAATAAATAATTTTTCTACCACAAAATAACTTATTTGAAAGTTAAACATTTTAGGAAATCATGTGTCATTGTTCATTAATACCATAAAACTAGTAAAAATAGACTCTTTAAGAGTTACCACAGAGTTCTTAAAATCTCAATATTAAAATTGTTAAAATACATTTTAGACTTTAGTTACTTACTACAAAGGTAAAGATACTGCAAAGAGTAAAATTTTATATCTAAAGAAAAGTTTAGTCAACAATCTGTAAATCGAGGTATTAGTTAAGTCAAGTGAGTTAATTATCAGCCAATTAAGAAACAATAGTTGGTGTCCATGTAAAAAACCATAAAACACTATACATGGCTAACAGAAAACAAGAGGTGCAATGGGAAGTTAACTTGTTCTCCTCTTAAGCTTTTGTAAATCTGCAAATGTTTGTTTTAAAAAGTAATAATAATTTTGTAATATTCTATGATAACCAAGCAAAAATATTTTTTTTTTACTGATGATTTTATTTTTACTTTTAATTTCTGTCCAATTTTTACAATAATGGAAATACAAAGAGTGAATAATAAAGATATGTATTTAAGAAAATTTACAGTTTATACATCATGTAATAATATATATGTAATAACATGTAATAAATAAAGATAATTAATCACTTATTCTCAAAATTTATTAGTTATTTAGAATTTTAAAACAAGTTCATCAAAATTTTAAAGTTACTTAATAAAAGAAAAAACTCTTTAAAGTTACACTAAAAAGTATATTTCACTACCAATCTTTCTTTCATAGATTTTGAGACCAATATGCAGCAGTTCTACTACTTTTTGTTCCTTTACCATGGATTGTGCTACTGACTGTTTTTCAACAGACTTAATAGAAGATGAAGTTGTTCCACAAAATTCATCCACAATTACAACTTTAGTTGTAACTAGTAAGTATATGAGAGAATTTTTTATGTTCTTTATTTACTTACTAACTTTTTACTTACTAAGTTTTACTTTTTAAGTTTTTTATTTACTTACTAACTTTTAAATAAAAAAAGGTAATTTTTGCTATAATAATACAAAAATAATTATACATTATAAATACCAAATAAATAAAAAATATATATCTTTTTTGATATTATCTATCTATTATTTATCAATATATATACTTTCTTGATATTAAATTGTAAATTGCTTAAAATGTTTCAGCATTGTTATTATTTGTTCTTAATTAACTAATGATAAATTTGTTTACTAAAAATTAGTTTTATTTTATGGGTTAGACAAAATGATAATAATGATGATAATGATGATGATATCGACGATTATGATGATGATGATGATGATGATGATGATGATGATAATAATGATGATGATAATGATGATGACAATAATAATGATGATGGTGATAATGATGATAATGATTATGATGATGGCAATGATTTTATTTTTATTTTAGAATTCATTTTTTTGTTAAATGATACTGGAGTGATTGAAATACCTATCCAACATATCAATAATCAAATTCAAGAAAACGACATGATATGGATTGGTGGAAGTGCTAGTTTATTTTGTAATGGAGCAAATCATGAGCAAGTGCAAGGAGTGGAAATCGGAAAAACAATAATATTTTCCACTAATAACATAACTAACAATGACTTTTTTATTTCACTTTTTGTATCTAGGCCCTTCGAGGTCATGATTCCTATACCATCAAATATAACTGGGCTGTTTAGTTTTACAGTTGAAGTGTCTAATCATGTTCCATCTTTTAAAAGTCTGACCTATTCATTTAACTTTCAGGTTTATTGAGTTCTCTTTTTAAATTTATTTAAAGTGTTTTTCCTGGGTTTGTCTCTATTTGTAACTGAAAAATTTATATCTGTATTTTATTATTAAAATTATTATTTATACGTTTTTTAAAATGTGTAGATAAATATATATTTTTTATATATCTTAACTGAATGCATGCTTTAAAAAAATTGATAAGCTCTCATATGAGTATAGAGATATCAGAGTTTCTCAAAGATTCTTCAAGTGAATGGAAAATATTGACTAACAGTTATACTTTTTCCTTTCTAATAATATTGGTAACATATTGACTAACAGTTATACTTTGTCCTTTCTAATAATATTGGTAACATAATAGTGGTCAAAAGTATTACGAGTTTAGAAAACAATAATTTATCCACAACCAATCACAATCCACAACAAACAAAATGCAGATAAAAAAGGTAAAATTATGAATAAATAAATTATGAATCATCAGATAAAAGTGTTTTGGGTCTAGGTGACTCCAAAAAGCAAAAGTGAGTCTGAAAGCTCCCACAATACAGTAGCAATAAAGCAGTTTTTAAATTCAAGTTTTCATATGTTATTTACAGTAGTACTTTTTTTTACAGCTGCCTACATTTATAATATCTTATATAGTTTTAAATACATTTATAATATTTTATATAGTTTAAATATATTTATAATATCTCATATAGTTTTTAATACATATTTAATATCTTATATAGTTTTAATACATTTATAATATTTTATATAATTTAAATACAATTATAATATCTTATATAGTTTAAATAAATTTATAATATCTTATATAGTTCAAATACATTTATAATATCTTATATAGTTTAAATACATATTGTTAAGTTTTTATATATAATGAGTGTAACGCAGTAGTTAGTAAATTCTTACTTCCTAAATATTGTGTTACACTCCATAAATTTTGAAACGGCAAGTAAACATTCCCATACAGTAAATGCAAAAATGCAAAAAAAAAATAATGCAAAAAAAAACTAACTAAAAAAATTGTTAAAAAAAAGAAAAAAATACAAAAAAACAAAAACAAAACCGCCAAAAAAAACATGTTTTTTGACCCAAAAAACGCAAAAGGAAAAAAACACAATTTTTTTGCAACTCTAATTGTTAATATGTTAAAGTTATTGAACCAATTCTCATGTTAATATGTCAAAGTTATTGAACCAATTCTAATGATATAGGACTATAATTGTGTAACGCAAGAGTCAATTTTTTGGATAAAAGAAAATCTTACATAGATTTGAATTTAATGAAAAAAAAAACAATGCTTTACTGTATGATATGATTCGAACCAACCAGCAGATTTCAACAAAATTGATTTTTAAAATTATAAACAGAACATTTCAGATTTGTTTTAATTTTAATATTATTCCAATTGGTATATATATATATATATATTTAAGTGTTTGTTGGTTATTTAAATATATTCTAAGTATAATCTAATTAGTGTCACAAGTAATACTTGAAAAATAATTAACTGTTATTAGCATAGCTTGTAAAATGAAATGCTGAAGTAACCCTAATGGCAATCTGTTCCACTTTTATAGGAAACAAGTGTATGCAAAATATTATTACTTTAATATAAGTATATTAATTTTAATTACTATAAGTGTATGGAAAATATTATTACTTATTAATTATATTAATATTATAAAAAGCATTTATTGGTTGGTCCACCAGTCTTAATTAAGTTATTATTTTGTCTTGATTTGGTATTTACTGGACTAACTATTTTATAGAGTAACCCCACATATTTTAATTAAATTTTTGTTAAATCTTTTTTTGTAGATACTTCATAGTTTTATCTTCTAACTGTATTTTCATTATTGGTAGTTCTTTCACTTCATTGTTGTACCATAAAGTACAAGAGCTACCAATGACAAAGGTTTTCTTCAGATATCAAATGGTTTTTTGTCATTCCCTTTGATTCATTCGCTGTTGTGGTCTGTAAGAAATATGCTATTAGTATTCAATTTAATTCAAATATGCAGTGTTAAAAATCTAAATGCAAGGTTGCCTGTATTAGTTGGTTTCTTCTGGCAAATTTATATTATAACAAATTTGAAAAGATTTCTCAGTGATTGTGCTATAAATAGCACAACTTGGTTAAAATTAATTAAAATTAAGTAAATAAAATAAAATTGTATATATATATATATATATATATATATATATATATATATATATATATATATATATATATATATATATATATATATATATATATATATATATATATATATATATGTATATATGTATATATGTATATATGTATATATGTATGTATGTATGTATGTATGTATGTATGTATGTATGTATGTATGTATGTATGTATGTATGTATGTATGTATGTATGTATGTATGTATGTATATATATATGTATATATATATATATATATATATATGTATATATATATATATATATATATATATATATATATATATATATATATATATATATATATATATATATATATATATATGTATATATATAAATATATATATATATATATTTTGCAATCATCATATATAATCATCGCAAATGAAGTGTTTGTTAAACGGTGAAAAGTAAAAAAAGTTTAACGAAGAAAAAATAAATCAAAAAACATTTTGGTAATAAAAGTTTTCAAATTAAGTGTATAGACAAGAAAAATAGATTTAAATAAAAATAAAAAACAAGAAAAAAAACAACAAAACAAATAAAAACAAAGTTAAAAGAAAAAAGTCTTCGAAAATGGAAAATAATAAAACAGAACTAAAATTTTTCCTACTACCAATATTTTTATGGAAAGAAAAGAAAAAGAACTATTTTAATTAATTTTGTACATTGTTTATATGTCATGTATTTAGGTATATAGATAATGTTGAATGTTTTTTTTTTATTTTTTATTTATCAATTAGTTGTTGTTGCTTTTTCTATATCTTGATATTTACTTTTGTTTAACTAATCTACATATTGCGTAATATAGGCTTTAATATTGTATCTAGTAGGGTATGAGTTTATTTTTTTTATTTAAGTTTGCTTTTTTTTGCTTTTTTATATTTTTCTGCAAAAATTTTTTTTCTCACTCTATTCTTTTGAGCTTATGTGATTAAAATATTTGTTTTCTCTTCTCACTCATCTTTTTTTCATTTTTCTTAGCCTTACTGTTTTATATTTTTGTTCTGATTCCAACTTTTTAAATAGTATTGTTCCTATTCTTTTTTTATTACTTGTATTAATGTAGTTTAATTTCCTTGTTTTAATATTTTTTAATTGTATTTGTTTATTTTATTAAGGTGTCACTCTATTGCCTAGTTTTTAACTATATGAGTGACACCGAACCTAACTTTGTAAATTCAAATTAAATTTATAATTTTTGATTTTATGGATAAATAAATGGATATGTTATGTTTACCCAGCATAAAATTTTATGTCTGAACTTTTGTGCCTAATTTATAAGTATTGTTATGCATAATTTTATTTTTGAAATTTTAAAAATATAGACCCCTGTGTCTGGTTTGCAGTTTGCACAGAAGAAACCGATTTCAAAATTTGTTGCTGGGTACAAACTTAATACTTGGGTAACGCTAAAAGCTGTGATTGACAATGGGTCGGATGTTACTTACACATTTAGTATACCAAATCTTAATTATTCCAAAAGTATATCTAACGATAATCAAGTTTATTATATGTTTAACAATGCAGGCAAGTTTTTTCATTTAAAAAATTAAATTTTTAGTAAATTATTATTTATAAACCCATTTAAATTATAATTAAATTCCAATTGAAGATAATTTTTGTTTAATTTTTTTTTGACACTTGAAATTGTTTATATATTTATTTAGGTATTTACACTGTCTATTTGACAGCTGCCAACAAGATTAGTTCACTTAATACTTCAATTGATGTTGCTGTTTTATCAGAAGTAAGTGGAGTATTTTTGGATGTTGGAGAAATTCAGCAACAAAATAGTGTTTTTAATACAACTATAAGAATATTCAATGGAACTAATATGCAGTTATTAGTTGATTTTGGTGATGGAACACCTGCTATAAATATTTCGAATATAGATGCAACCAATGTAAATGGTGTTAATTTTACTTTTACCCATACGTATGTATTTAGTTTTTTTCATAATGACTAAAATTATGTAAACTTTCTTCATAAATGTGTCTTAGTTTGCTTAGAATTCTAAAGCACAGATGTTTGTGAAAACTAGAAAAATAAAGTTTGTTTATAATAAGTTTTTATGTTTTAGCATTTTTTTTTTAACTCAATAATTAAACAATAAATAAACTAGATGAATAAAAATAAAAAGATTTTTGACATGAAGAGTTACAGTAAAGTAATGCAACAATGGCGAATGATAAGTCACGCAAGATTAAGTTTTTATAGGTGGATCAAGAAATTGTTTACATTCATTAATTTTATTTTTTAAATACATTTATTTTTTGTTTATGCAACACAATGATTGCAAAAAGTGACTAACAGAGCTGTCCAGTTACGTAGACCTGGGAGATGTGATAATAAAAACAGTTAGTAGATGGTCTCATTGAATAAAAAAATAAAAATCATAAGAAAATTTAAAAATAAGTGGTAAGACTTTTATGAAGGTGAAGAACAAAGTTAAATGCTTGGGGGCAAGGGGAGAAACAACTAACACTCTAGTCACTCTGTGTGTAGATCATATGTAACAAAGAACAAATATTTGAAATATTGATTTTAGAGACTGTTAATGTCTACAGGTATGATGGTGTAGTACATTAGTAAGTACCGTTTGGTCGTCTAGTATGGTCTCGTTATGTTTTCGTTTACTTTTAAATCGGGTGAATAGAAAGCTAAAAACACTCACCTCTTGCGCTTATGGGCTAGCACATCAGAGCCAGACGTAAGACCTACAGAATACAAATTGATCGAATGCACACATTGTTCACCGTAGGCCACAAGCCATATACTCTAATGTCCGTTTTGTCGTTGTGGTGTACATTGGAAAAAGTCAGGGCTCACCAGCCACAAAGAATAAATTTTTTGTTTATGCGACACAGTAGTAGGAAAATGCCGGTTTTTGCTCATTTTTCATTTTCAACCATATTTTCAATCATATATTTTAATTAAAATATATGATTCATTTTCAAGCATAGTGTGTATAAATTATATAACTAAGAAATAAAGTTTTAGGTCGCTTCGTGATCAATGCTACGCTAAAAAATTAGTATCAATTTCGTTTCTATTGCGTGACGTCACAGGTCACGTGATATTCAGAGTGATCTTATGCATAGTAGAAGCATTGTCCTATCAGTGCAGCATAGCTCCCAGATTGTCCAACTTGTGCATCACCAGAGTTGAGTGTCACTACCATTCTTCTACCTATACCAACGCTAGGCATACTTTCAGATGAATTAAAGTTTCTATAAAATGAAATTGTAGTTGTTGGACCAATTGTACTATTCGATTGATAAAGTAATCCTGATGCTTCATTATTAAATGAGTTTACATTAGATCCATTCCATGATGAGAGATAAAAATCTTCTAAACCTGATGAAGCGTAGATGCATCGACTGTTAACATCATATCCAGAAAATGTAGTATATCCATTATTATTATAAGGTGTCCAAGGTTGAATGACAGAGTTAGTATTGGTAGGAGCGCCATATCCATCATAGATGCGAACTCTAGATTCCCACCAGTTTCCAGATCCTCCAATTACATGCATTCTAATGTATTTCAAATACACTCCGTTTCCCTTGTCCATAACATTCATTAGCATATATTCACTACCATAAGTTGTATTTACATATCTAAATGTTGTTGAGTACAATCTAATGGATGAGATAGATCGAGGTATTAACGGATTAATACTAGTTAATGTTTGTTGTAACGATGAAGTTCTTGTGATAAAAGGTTGTAACCAAAAGGTCACTGAATTTCCTGTTTTATTGTATAATTGTATATACAAACTTGATGTAAAAGGAAGATCAAATGTAAAATATCCTCCTAAATCATTTATATTAGATACATTACATCCTTGTAAAGAGTTTGCATAATAAGGTCCACCAAGTGGTGCAATTAATAAATCACAAGCTAAAGCTGTATTATTAATACCTACACCATCTGTTACAATAGAATCATTACCTATGCAAAGTACATTGTCAACATATATTTTTAAAAACAAGTTACCTGGTACAGTATTAGGTGCAATAGTAGATCCTGTAAATGCAATCCACAGTTTTCTTAGAATTCCTGAACTACCACTATAGCTAAAAATAGTATATGATCCTGGAGTTGCATAGAATGCTTGAGATTTTTGTCCAAAGCATATTAAACTTGTATTGGGAATGATATCTAAACTTTGATTTTGCATATCATCAACATAGCTCTTTGTAACTGCATCCTGTGCATCAGTAGGATTAGCTACATTGATGAGTTTATTTGTATTTAAATTTATATTAGCAGTTGCAGGATTATAACCATCAGTTCTTAGATATAAATTACTAGAAATCTGATTATTATCTACATAATGCTTTGTAGCTGCATCT